CGGGGTCGCCCCCCGCGGGCCGCCGGTGGCAGCAGTTGTTGTTCCAGGAAACTTTATTTAAAGTCGGGCTCGCTCCGTCTCGGGCGCCCCCTCCCCAAAGAGCCCGAGCGACCGCGGTGGCGCGGGGAGGAAGGGGGAAGCAGCGACTCTCCGGCAACGACAGCGAGCGACTGACTGACCCCGGACGGAGATGGGGCGAGGGCAGGAAGTGACAAGCTCTCCGAGTGGGTGGGGGAGTGTGGCCGGCGCGCTCGGGAGCGCCGTGCGCATGCGCCCAGCCCGCACTCCCCCCCACCCTCCGCCCGGGAGGAGTGAAAGCGCACCGGCCGACGCGGGGCCCTGCGTCCGGAGAGCCTGGGGTCTCGGCCGCCGCCTTGGGCACAGCTCGGGGCTGCGCGCCCGGAGAGGGTGCGGGCCTCTGCGGCCTGGCGCCCCGGGGAGCTGCCGCTGAGCCTCCAAACTGTTGCTCAGGCGCTATCAGGCCGCTGGGGCGCGCGGTGACCGAGCGCTGGGGCGCCCCACGCCGCCCAAGGCGCTCGGTGGCCTGGTGCGTGGGGGGAGGAGAACGTTCTCCCGAGAGTTGCCCCTGGCCCCCCGGTGGAGGTGTGTTGCTGCCTGCGGCGCTGGTGTGAACTTGAGTCACGTGGGCCGCACGCCCTTGCCCTCCTCCGGGTGCTGCCCTGGAAAATCCCCGCGGGGTCTCGAGGCGCCTGTCAAACCCGGGGTCTGGATTCGGGCTCCGGGCAGGTGGGCCCACTGTGGGTCGGGGCGGGTGACCGAGGGATGCGTTCTCCGTGTGGCTCTCCCGGGCAGATTCTCTGAAAAAGAAGGAAGCTGCCAGTTGGCGGGGTCTTTGTGGCGTCGTGGTACTAGCTAGATAGGCGCTCTGGGTAATTCAGTAGAAGGCAAAGAGAGGGCCTGGAACCCCCTTTTTCAATATGCGGAGTTTGTAGGGGGTGCGATCAATTGGTAAATGCGTTACTCTCAAAGTGTTGCCCGGAGCATTTGCAGAAGTCTAGGGGGATTGTAGGCGTCCTGGTGGCTACTTAGCATCGGACTGCTAACCAAAAGGGCAGCAGTTGGAACTCACCAGCCAAGCCAGGGGAAGAGGATGAGGTGACTGGCTGCCTTAAAAATGCACAGGGGTTCATAAGAGCGGGGAGCGAGGAGGGGGAGAAAAAATGAGCTGATAACAAGGGCTCAAGCAGAAAGCAAATGTTTTGAGAATGATGCCAACAAATGTACAAATGTGCTTGACACGATGGATGGATGGATTGTGATAAGAGTTGTACGAGTCCCCAATAAAGTGATTTTTTTTTAAAACTAGCGGGGGGTGGGGTGGGGGTGGGGGTGATGCACTGCCTCCAAAACTCGAGGCCAATTCTGCTCGCTCCTGTAGCATAGCTCTGAGTCAGAATCGACTCCGTAACAGGTTTGGTATGTGATCATGTAGCAGTATGATTATATTGGGTGACAGGAAAGGGGCAGAAGACGGATCAGCTTTTTGGAAAGGAATTCCACACACCATTGGACACACCATAATCTGTCACATAAGTAAAAGGTATGGTAGTGTTAATCTGCCCCATCGTCAAAAGTTTCACCCAGCACCCAACGAAGACATAATGAAATAGTGCATTTTATAAGCCAATGTAAAATGAATTATGGCATACCCATATGACGGTATTTGTTATACACCCAGTAAAAAACACACTCTGTTTTAACAGTTAACTGTATGACATGTGCTTACGTAAAAAAATAAAATTATATTGCAATACCTAACACGGGTTTGAAGATGATTATAGGTGATTTTTATTTTCTTCTGTATACTTTTCAAAGTTTCTAAATTTATCAATATTATAAGCACAAAATCATCTTAAAAGCCAAGAAGACTGATGATGTGAAAATGATTATAAACCAAACTCTGCCAATCGAGTCGATCCTGACACATAGCAACCCCACAGTAACCCTATAAAATGATTATAGAAAGGCTTAAAAAGCAAGCAAGCTCACCACAATCATGTCAATTCTGACTCATAGCGGGCCTACCGAGGGTTTCTAAGGCTGTATATCTTCAAAGGAGCAAGTAGCCTAAACTGTCTCCCAAGGAATGAGTGGTGGTATTCTGGTTAACACCTAACACCCTTCAATGACCTCAGGGCTTCTTTGCCAAAGGGAAAACAGACGATGAGAGGTTAGATCACGCATCAGGGTTGCAGCTGGTGCCCAGTCATGAGCCAGGACTTTGCAGTCATGCTATATCTCCTGCACTGTGTGGCCTACGCTCTACTGAGCTGCATGGGATGTGTATTGTCACATTATCTAGAGAAAGATGAGCCAGCAAGCCCTGCCAGTTTCAAAAAGTATTAAAATGCTATGGGCAGGCTCATGGAGTAGAAATGGATGGCTACATTACAAACCTATTGAAAATCCATTCCAGAATTTACAAGAACTTTGGACATGGTGTAGAATTGCCCTGCCTCTTAAAAAATTCTCACAAGATATGGAAATAATAACAATCTATCAAGGGGTCATGAGCGTGGGGAGGAGGGAGGGAAAAAAGAGGAGCCGATACCAAGGACTCAACTAGTAACTGTCTAGAAAAGCCTGATGACAACACGTGCAAATAGCCTGAGGCCATCGATGTATGGATTGTAATAAGAGTTGTAAGAGCCCCCAATAAAGTGATCTTTTCATTAAAAAGTATATATGTATATATTGAAATGTCCCGAGGAACTTTACATACAATGATGTCCTTATAATTACCAGTCATATCAAAATATATATATTTTATAAATACTGATAAAGAATGAAAAAAATTATCATAAGCCATCCCAGAAAAGTATCTGCTTTTCCTTTCACGGAGCACTGCAACCTAGACGACACTTTTACAACACGACCTTTTGATCCTTGACGTTTGAAAGTACATCATATGATGAACCTCCATCCCTTTTACAGTTTAAAATCACTTCTAGTCCTCAAGATAGGGAAACACTGTCACATCTAAATACGAATGGCTGCATAGTTGAACACGCTCCAACTCAAAAAACCCTACTCATTGCCATCAAGTCGATTCCATCACACAGTGACCCTATGGGACAGAAGAACCACGCCTGTGACTTGCCAAGACTAAAGCTTCACAGGGATAAAAAGCCTCATCTTTCTCCCTTAAATGGCTGGTGACTTTGAACTGTTTGACCTTGTGGTTTGCAGCCCAACACATATTCCGTTACATGACCAAAGCCCTGTAGACACCCATACACACGATGGTTCCTAACAAACCAAACCAGTGGTTTAAATCATTTTATATCTCTTAATTCTGTAGACCAGTAATTTGGGTTGGCCTTGTTTGACTCACCCTTGCAGCCGCTGTGAGAGAGGCTCACTCACCTGGTTGATGGTGTGGACTGCCGGCCAGACCTTTTTTTCCTGGTAGCTTTTCATCTTCCAGGTGTCTAGCCTGAGTTTTTTGGGATTTTTTTATTTTATTGTGGCAGCATACCAAGAGGGTAAAGAGTGGAAGCTGCTAGACCTCTTGAGACCCCATGTTCAAGTTGCATGCTCTCCCTTCTACCACATTCTGTTAGTCAAAGCAAGTCAAATGGCAGCTGCAGGGAGCAAGAGATAAACTAACTGTCCTCTTAGTGAGAGAGCCAAGTCACTTGCATATTGGAATAGGCGGGATTCTTGAGGCTCTTCACAATATGCAATAACTGAAGAATGGTACTAGCTAATGAGTGTTGCTGGTTTATTTATTATGCTAGGTGAGACCTTGAAGACTAATAAAATGGGGAAACACACTCAAACCTATTTTTTAAAAGGACCAACCAGGTCAACTTAGTAGCCTTATGTAGATAAGCTTTAGTGATAAACTTTCCTCACTGGGCCTTGCTTAATTTTTAAGTCTATTCTTAGTTTCCCATCTGCACTAGACAGAGCCTACTCATACTTAACAATGACCCCAAACGTGAACAAGTAGACGCAGTTAGAGTTACTATATTCTCTGGTCCAGATTTTGCAAACTTTGATTATGATGTGGCGTTTTACAACAAAATTAAATCTAAATATCAAAATAAAGGCTATGTATTTAGAAAAGGTCATGTATTTGCGCAAAATTTATTTAGAAAGAAAAATATAAAACTGTAGTTCTCTCAATTATATACAACTTAACACCAAAATTCTGTACAAACAGCATAAAATGAAAAAGGGAGAGCTTTCTTTCCCTAG